ACCATTTATTTCTAGCATTTCTGTATCATTTGAAATTTATCTGGTCTTTGCACATTCATCAGTCGATGGGATTTTGCTGCCTTAGGCTCTCCATAGTTGCTTTCGGGTTCAGGTACACTTTCTCCCCTTCTTAGTTTTGATTTTGTGCTTGTACTCACAATGCTTTGTATTTTGTACAGGCTACTACAGGAAGAACATCCAAGCTTCATCCAGTTTAGTACCTCAGTAGGCTTAAATTTTGATATGTTTTTACTTTTGTTGTACTGTTCTTTTTCTTTCTTTTGCTGTTCACTGACATTTTCTATTGCTCTACGCAGGCTTCAAGATGAACGGAATGCTTTTTTGTGAGCCACTTCGGGAGACCTCTGCTTCATGTATAACTTTCCTTTTGTAATTTTACATATATTGCATGATGTTTTCTTCTTTCTTACTGACACTTCTTAATACTTTGTGCAGGTCCCAGAAGTGCAGAATATCTGGTCTTTGGAAGGAGCAGAATAAAGTGGTTAACTTCCTCTTCAAGAGTAGTTTAGGGAACATATTATAGTCCTCCCTGAAGGACATTGTACTTTTCCTTTTCTTTTAGCTGATATAATCTTGTAAAAAAAGATGTAATCTACAAATGTGCATATGAGTTCTGAATAAAATAAAAAAAGATGTAATTCAGTTGTGGACGAGCTCTCTTTTTACTGTTCCTGAGATTTTTATAGTTGTGCTCTGACCTGTGCTCCTGGCATTTTTAAATATTTATTTGGGGATCTCAGCATGCAGTACAATGTCGACTCAAATAAATATTTAAAATGCCCCCAATCTTTAAGGACATTTGTAGGCATCATCTAGGGTGCTCATTCCCTGGCTTTGACTTGAATCCTGAGATTCTGATTCTTTTTGTCCTGTGTTTTTTGTTGCGGATATTGATGGAGAATTGTCTGATTTGTCTTTACTGACTTGTCAGGTGATTTTTTTGTATCTTCGGCCCTATGCTTCTAGCTTTGGCGGACTTGATGGAGTAGTAGATGCCGGTGACCTAAACTCTTTAGGTTTGCACTAGGTCGGTGGCGAAAAGTCATCGGTCAAGAGCTTTGTGCATAACGGACTTGTTAATGACAGAATCCACTTAGTTCAACCTTGGGCTTTGTGTGAACTTTGGGATAATTTTCTTCGATCCTTTGCTTTGTGCTTTGGCGGACTTATTGAAGAAAAATTCCTTCGATCCTCGCTTTGTGCTTTACGGATTTGTTGAAGGATTAGCAGGTTCTTGATTCAGCTGATAGTACCGAACGTAGGTAATATCTTGAACCTTAACAACTTGAGAAGACTTTAATCTGAGTCACTTGAGTTCATCAGATCAAGAGAGCTAGGATTTGATAGTTCTTTATCCTCTGGTTGCTGAGATGGGGGTTCCTCTACTACGGCCTTTCTTATGGCTTGTTGAGTAGATGTAGTTGCCAAGGATCCGGCCATATTTGGGCTTGTTGGATCCAACCTCTTATACTCATTCAGGCTTCAGACTTAAGCTATGGAAAATGCGCTTCCCAATGCTGACTTCACTAAAGTTGGTAGATTTGGAGTTCTCCTTTGTGGTTGAAAATGTTGGAGCCTACGAATATTCAGTAGTTGCTCGAGACTCATCCTTCCACTGGAACTTTGATTCTCCAGTCATTTAGAAGAATTTTGTAGAATATGATCACTTGAACTTGTCGAATCAAATTTGCCTTCGTGCTTCCTACAGTCCCTACTGACGGGTTGACGAAGTGCGGGTTCCGCTACTACGGCCTTTCTTATGGCGTGTTGAGTAGACGGAGCTGCCAGCGATCCAGCTATATTTGGGCTTGTTGGATCCAACCTTTTACACACATTCGAAACTTAAGCTTCAGACTGCTGGAAGACTTCAAGCTTTTTTGGCTCAATTTGTTGGAGTATGTAGTCACGAAAGTCTCTTTCTTGACTTTTGAGTCTTTGTTCGTTGGAGAAGGTGATGCCTTGAACTTTTAAAAGATTACTTGCATATACTTTGAAAAATAAATATTTGTATTCTTTAGCACAAAAAAACATTTGAATTGATTATTTTAAATATTTATTCGGGGATCTCGGCACGCAGCGCGATGTCGACCCGAATAAATATTAAAATGCCCCCTGTCTTATAGGGACATTCTAGAACAGAATAAATTTAGAATTTTGATATTTTAAATATTCATTTAGGAATCTCGGCGTGTAGCACGATGTCGACCCAAATGAATATTAAAAATGCCCCCTGTCTCGTAGGGACATTTTGGATAGGCTTTGTATCTTTAAGATTTTTAAATATTTATTCGGGGATCTCGATACACGGTGTGATGTCGATCCGAATAAATATTTAAAACGCCCTCAGTATGATGGGGGATTTTGAAATGCATTCTTGTTACACAAGAGAATTTCAAAATGCAAGGTGTACTTTATATTAAAGAATATATATATAGTACATGATAGTTCGACATATGGTCATTCTTATGCTTAATATTTCTTCAGGTATCGATCGTTGATTTGTGGCATGGGCCTCTGACCATCTAGATCGATCAACTGATATGCTCCTCCTTGATACACCTTCTCGATGACGAAGGGACATTCCCAATTGGACATGAACTTGCCACCGATTTTTCGGTGTGGGATGATTGGTCTTCTCAGCACCAGGACCAATTCCCCTTCTTGAAATGCACGAGGGCGCACCATCCGATCAAACGATTTTGCCATTCTTTCTCGGTAGATTTCCAGGTTTTGTTGAGCTTGCAATCTGATCTCATCGAGTGCATCAAGATCCTCCATTCTTAAATGAGCATTTTGTTCTTGAGTAAAGTCATTCTAGATTGCTACCCGGAGTGACGGTAGTTCAATTTCCAATGGTAATACGGCTTCAACTCCGAACACCAAAGAGTAAGAAGTGGCCTTGGTAGGCATTTTGTAAGTTGTACGATACGCCCACAGTGCTTCTGTCTTCTTCATATGTCATTCTCTTTTGTTTTTGCTAAGAATCTTCTTCAACAGTTTCACCAGCGTTTTATTGAAGGCTTCTGTCAATCCATTTGCCCTTGGATTATATATAGATGAATATCGCCAATCAATTTTGTGCCTATCTTCTAACTTGTAGATTTTTGTACTTTTGAATGCAGTACCATTGTCTGAGATTATGCGGCATGGCACACCAAATCTATAGACAATATTGTAGGTAAAGAAATTGATCACATGTTCGGATGTGACCTCTCTGAATGGAGCTGCTTCTACCCACTTGGAAAAGTAGTCCGTCGCTGCCAGAATAAAACGATGTCCCGCTGATGATGGCGGGTCTATTGGGTCAATTATATCAGTACCCGAGCATTCAAATGGTCATGATGTTATTGTTAGGTGCAAAGGATTTGGAGGCTGATGTATAACATAACCGTGGATTTGACATTCGTGACATCTCTTAGCATGGTCAATACAATCTCTGACCATGGAGGAGCAAGGGCGTCGGGTTGGAGATCGGAGAGGCTTTGATCGGAAAAGGAGGGAGGAGGGAGATCGGGAAGCAGAGGAGTTAGGTCGCGGAAAGTGGAACGAGCGATCCAGTAATGAGAGCTTTGCTCTCATTTTATAGATGCGAAGGGAAGCTTTGTCGAGGCGAGATTCCAGGAAACGATGCGAACGGTGCCGAATCGGGCACGATTTTGAGATTTTGAGGATCCGACGAGTATACTGTATGCATGCTACGATCTTTTGGCTTTTACATAGAGGTCAACAACTAAGAAAAAAATTCATCTCCCATCTCCTACCCATTTTCACTCTCTAAAGAGAGAAAATACACAATAAAAAATATTCCTAAGCCACATCCTTTTCATTCTTTAAAAAGAGAGAGGAAACACGCTTTTCCCATTTTCCCTTCATTTTTCCTGTCTAAACAAAGAAAGAAACCCCTCATCCTCCACACATCTCCATTCCTCCAAACTCCCTCTCAAGATTTTTTCTCTAAATAGAGAGAAAATTGTTTTCTCTCTCTAAAGCTTCTTTAAATCTTTCAAAATCATTCCCCAATCTTCCTCCCCTCTTACACCTTCCACAAGCAAAATTGGTCCCCTCTTTCTCTCCCGTCCTTCTAGAAAGAGAGCTTTCACTCTCTGTCTCTCAAAAATAAAATAAAAAAATCAACAAAACAAAAGTATTAAAATAATAATTTCAGTAATTTTAACTTCAATATACACACACACGTTATGATGTGTATTTGGTTGCTTGCAGGCTCTGTTACTCCATCATGGACTAGCCTTTATGATGCGTACAAGTATAATAGACTTAAATTCAAAACCCATAGAAACTCACAATGATATGATTGACATGGGAAGGGTACCCCTATGCACGCCCTTTCGAGCATTCTGAGAAGAGCCTCGTCGTTGAGGTTTGCAACATCACGAATGGACTCCACTTGCTAGGCATTCAATGCAGCAAGTGGACTCTTATACACGCCCTTTCGGGTGTGGTGAGAAAAAGCTCGTCGGTTACCTGTGCATGCCCTTTCAAGTATAGCAAGAGAAGCCTCGTCAATGGCATGTGTGACGCGACCAAGTGATTTACCTAATACAAATTTCTCATGTAGGTACCTCCTGCACACCCTTTCATGCGTGGTGGGATTTTAAAATTATTAAGTTTCAAGTGTGGTGTAGGTAATTTATGGCCCTGCACACCCTTTCATGCGTGGTGGGATTTTAAAATTATTAAGTTTCAAGTGTGGTGTAGGTAATTTATGAGGCCATAGGTGGCAAGCATGAGGTTGAAATTTCAAGACAAAAAATCTCACCAATACGTGCATGATAAAAATAGCTCAAAAAATTAAATAGCATTACATGTTAGTTTTTTCTTCTTCTATTTTTTTTTTTTTTTCTTCTAAATTGCAGTTAAGATGCCATCTTCCACTAACTGAATTATTTAGAAGTAACATATATTTTAGAGAAACAACACTCTCCTAACATTAGTTGATAGAGAAATTAGTGACATACTGAGCATCTTCGTAGTCAAATGATGCATATCCAGAGGTTATACTTTTCAGTTCGTTGTAGAAATCAACAACAATTTCCCTAAGTGGAAGTTGATATTTCATGAGCACCCTCTGGCTGCACGACAAAAATGGAACATCAATTTGGAGTATTATCTAGTTTATAATTGCCTCATTGCTCAGGCGAAAATCACCTTTCAATAAATGAATATTCAAGTTGATCTCCTCTCCTTTCTGAACAAAGTGTAATAACAGGTCCTACATATCTGAAAGATTATTTGGAAAAAGAGAATGATCAATACTATTTCTTCTTTCAACTAGTCTGCCACGGAAAAAAGTAATGAATATACCTAACAGCACAAGGAACTTACTCACAAGGAAGGATTATAGTTGCAATAACTGATGGTTCCCAACATGCTGTAACACTCTTTCCGGGGTTTGAGGCTAATGCAGCGGGATTCTGAACCTTTACCTTACTAAAACAAAAACAAAGGTACAGATTCAATTACCTATTCAACAGCAAGTACACTGCTCATTATGGTACAATAATACCTCCCATCTGAATACTCAAAAATATAAGGCACAGTTGGTATGGTAGATAAAACTTTTGCACCATATTCCTGCATGATTATGATACGAATATTACTATTTAGTCCAAAGAAAAAGATTTGTCTACCTATACTCCAACTAGTAATTCAAAAACAAAAGAACAAACAGGTGTCTACAAGAAACAATTGATACTCCAACAATGACAACAACATTAAGCCTTTATCCCATGGCTACATGAATCTTTTTTCTCTATTGTGTTATGTTAAGAATTAAATTCTCATTTAAATTTAATTAGAAAAAAAAAAGTCATTTATAATATTTTCTAGCCAAATTTAATACATCTGCTCCCCTAACCGGGTCATCAGAAGACCAACGTTTTATGTGCAACAACAACAGCAATATCAAGCATTTAACGGATACATGAATCCTTTTTTTCTCTATTATGTCATGTTAAGAATCAAATTCTCATTTAAATCTAATTAAAAAAAAAGATTATTTCTAATATTTTCTAACCAAGTCTTTTTAGTCCTACCTCTACCTTTTTTAACATAAACCAAATCTAATACATCTACTCTCCTAATTGGGTCATCAGAAGGCCAACGTTTTATATATATTAAAGGATTAATGTTATAATTATTCAGCAAGTTCTATGCTGGCCGTAAAAAAAAATATTGCATGAAAAGGAAAGGAGAAAATCAGTATAATATACTTGCTCAAGCCGTTGATGAAAGACATCCATATGAAGTAAACCCAGGAAGCCACATCTGTTCAAGTAATAAATATTATAATATTGGTACAGATTAATGGGAAAATAAAAAGAATGACGATGATGAAATTTAAGAAAATCTTAGACAGCTTTCAGGCAGAAATTAATCCATTGATTCAACAACAAATGACTATACCTGAATCCCATGCCAAGTGCTGTACTAGTCTCTTTGGTAACCGAAACACTAGCATCATTGCAAATCAATCTCTCTATTGCATGGTTGAGAGCATCAAAATCAGATCCATCAGCTGGATAAAGGCCAGAGAAAACCATGTGTTTTGCAGGCTTGAAACCTGAACGGTCAGGGATGTATTATTTATATTTATAAAAGAGAAATTTGTGAGGAGATTAGGTAAGCATGAAGCTTGTCATGAGCTAACTTTGTCAAACAAGGTAACATGCATATAGCTTATTTTAGCATGAAGATGCCATTAAAACTCAAATGAAGATCACAAGAAATGACCTTTATATGATTAGTAGGGAAAAGGTGGGAATATGAAACAATACCAGGAAGGGGCAAAACAGTGCTTTTGGCTTGATGAAGTGTATCACCAACACGTGCCTCAGCAGTTGAGCGCATTCCACTAACAATATAACCAACTTGACCAGTCAATAGAACTCCAGTTGGGGTAAGTTCAGGATGCATGATTCCAATATCTGAAACCTCGTATACATGGCCAGTTGCTGAAGAAGCAATTTTATCACCCTTATAAAGAGCCCCATCAACAACAGCAACATGGCATATTACTCCTTTATATTCGTCATAATAAGAATCTAATAGAAGCATCCTTAAAGGTGAATCACACTTTCCAGGTGGAGCAGGTATGCGGTCTATCACAGAAGGAAGGACATGTTCAAGACCCTGGCCTGTTTTAGCAGAAGTTAGAAGAGCATGATTTGGATCCAGATCAAACAGGGACTTCAGCTGAGCCTTTACACGATCTGGATCTGCAGTAGGCTGATCAATCTTGTTTATTACAGGGATAATTGCCAAGTTAGATTCAAAAGCAAGATAGAAGTTGGCAACTGTTTGAGCTTGAACACCTTGTGCAGCATCAACCACTAGTAAAACACCCTGGCAAGCTGCAAGTGATCTGGATACCTCATAGCTAAAATCAACATGACCAGGGGTGTCAATAAGATTCAACAAAAAATTTGGTGCATTTACTATTTCAGTAGCCTCATGTTGCTGAAATTTGTGTCTAAAGAACATTGTAGCTGTCTGAGCTTTGACCGTAATACCCCTTTCCCTTTCAACCTGTGAACATATGTGTAGTTGTGTAAGCTTACAGCAGGGGTACATTAAGAAAAAAAAAACTGTCCACCCACACGCATACCACATGGAGATTATAGGTTGATTTTTCAAGAGAAAGTGTGTGACCAGAGGAATATGACTACCATTTATGAACACCAGACATCAACTATCAAACGGACATGAGTTTTGGGCTGGCTTAAAGTTTAAACAATGAGAACCATAAGCATTGTATGGTTCCTTCTTTGAATATAATACCATGGAGAATTGTTCTTATTTCTGCTTTTATTGTGCTTCTCCCATCAAAGTCGTAGAGGTTTATTTTCTTTCTGTGTTTGGTTTTCCCACTGATCTAAACGAGAATTTGACTTTTAACATGACACAATGAAGAAAAACGATTCATGTTGCCGACCCCACGTAGTTGGACAAAGGCTTGATGTTCTTGTTGTTGTTATTGTTTGGTTTTTACACTGACCTAAATGCATGCTTTTGGGCCAAGAAAGCTATTCTATTGTGAAGAAGATACCATGTGGCTTCTCCTTTCACAAAATATGCTTTTTGAGGCTCTTGCCTTGCCTGAAATCCTAAATTGCCATCAGGTATTTGATACGGTTCTACCTGGACCGCCAAAACCGGCCCTGCCTAGGCCGGTTCATGTATACAAGAGGCGGGCTAAGCCGCCTCCTTCCGTGGGGATTTAGGGGCCCACTTTGGGCGGAATCTAGAGAGAGGGAAATGGGGCGAGCAATAATTAGAAAAATTCTTTTGAATTAGATTTATTCTAGGAAAGTTTTTATAGGCTTTGTATTAGGAAGTATGTATTAAAAGGAAGGAGGCTAGGGTTAGGGCATGCATGATTATTGTTTCTCTCGAAGTTCTCTTTGGTGTCTTGGGATCTAGGCTTTTCGTCTAGAGATTGGGAGAGAATGATCCTCCTCTCAAATTGAGGATCAATTGTATCTTTGTTTCATTCTTGCTTCGCTTTGATTTCTAAAAATTTATCTACGGATTTTGATTGCTTCGACCCAAATTCTTCTATTTTTCTCGCTGATTTTAAGGTTTTCTTCTGAACTCAAGTATTCCCATTAGGGTTACTTGCGAACTCAAGTATTTCTTATCAAACTGGCATCTGAGCATTGTTCCTAGACCCTTGTGGGCTGAATTTTACAAGAAATTTAACAGCAGTTTATGGATCGGAAAAAGATATTTTGCTGAATTTTTAATCTAATATCCAGAATTTTTTATGGCGGCCAAGAAAGTTGACGCGTTGGAAGAAAGATTTGAAGGAGAAATGAGCCAAATAAAAGCCATGGTGGAAGATTGAATCTCCTCCATAGAAGATAAGGTCTTGTCCGTGGAAGACAAAGTTTCCGATCTTCATTTGATGGTGAAGAAGTTGAAAAATCAAATCCAAACAGCGGCATCGGAGTAAAAGGGACTAACAAGAAGAACTAAGACTTCTGATTTTTGTAGAAGGGAAAATGATGTAGAAATCATTGAGGAGAGAGGGGGAAGGTATGTAGAGAGACGTGGCATAGGGATCAAGGAGTAAAAGGGGCTGGTTGGGAGAGAAAGGAAGGGCATTATGGTGGGAGGGGTGATAATTTTGAAGAAAGGAGAGAACAAAGTGAAGGGGAGTTTGAAGAAGAACATGTAAGGGAAGATCGGGATATGTGGGGAGAGCAAAGAACTTGTGAGAGGGGAAATTATAGAGGAATATGGAGATAAGGGGAGAGAAAAAAGTAATGAAGCTCAAAATGCCAATTTTTGAAGGGGAAGACGCTTATGGATGAATCTACAAAGTGGAGAGGTATTTCACCGTCAAAGGGTTGACGGATGGGGAGAACTGAAAGCAACAGGCCTATGTTTGGAAGGAAAGGCATTGTCGTGGTTCCAGTGGAGGGGCCAAACGAGACCTATACAAAGCTTGAGGGCATTCAAAAATTGCTTATTGGAACGTTTCCAAACCGACGGGGGAGCAGACTTCTATGAGCCGTTTTTCGCACTAGTGCAGAACAGATCCGTGACAGACTATCGGGAGCAGTTCGAACACTAGCCAGTCGAGTGCAATGTTTAAAATTGCGTAATCGGATATTGAGGCGTTTTTCGTTCGTGAGGCGAGGCGTAAGCCTCAAGACGATTTGAGGCGTAAGCCTCAAGACGATTTGAGGCGTAAGCCTCAAAATCAAAAAATTGTGTAAACATAAAATGATAAATTTAGTATATACTATTGAGTAAATAATATATAAAACATAAAAATGCACAAGATAAATAGCAATGACATTAACATATCACATAAGAAGTTAAGAACTCACTAGTCATCAGCATTATCATCACTCATAAGTCATCACTAAGGGGGTCTTCATTTGAATAATCATAATGATGAGCTGCTCTCTCCTCTTCCCCCTCTCCTATAGAGTTCAATATCTCCCAATCAGCCTCTTCTTCCTCATTATTAGTTATATTTCTCTTCCCTAAATTGTAAATATTTTTGAACAATATCATAATAAATAATAGTGTAATACATTAATAAAAGTTTAAGAAAAGAAAATTATATTATTTATATACCTTTTTTGATTTGTTCTTGAGTTGTGGTGGATGTGGATGCTTTAAGACCATCAACGAAATCAACATTTAAATCTTCATCTTGTAATTCAGACGGCATCACTTCAACTTCATCATCTACAAACCACTTATCATCAGATGCCACATCATTGCAAAGCAAAGGATCTTCATCGTCCATTAATCCTTTTTTTCTTCAAATTTCTATCTCTGAGTCTCCTATTGTACATAATGTACACCAGTGAGTTCATCCTCAATATCGACAAGCGATTTCTCCTCTTTGTATGTACTTGGTTGTAGGTACTCCAATTTCATTCACAGTCAGATGAAGAGCATGTCAAGCCCAAAACTTTCATATCAAAAAGCTATAATTCTGGAGTCTCATCACCAAATTGAATCCACCACTCAGCTGGAGATCGTTTGGCAATTGTATATTTTGCTTGTTGTAATCCAAAAAAACCTTCTTTGTTCCTAAAAGGTACCAATTGCAAGTCAGCATTTGATCTTTTAGTTGCATCACATATTAGACGATCCATGCAATGATATAATCCCAACTTTATTTCAGGGTTTGTAGACTTGTTCTCTGCATATTGATACTGAGGGTTTAGGTAGTAGCCAGCGGCATGTAAGTGTCGGTGAAGCTGTAGTTCGCACCTATCATCAATAATATTCCAAATTTTTCTAAAGCTTCCCTCACTGCCTCCTAAGTTGGAGGCAATCATCTCTTTGGCTTCATACATGGCATTGTAGATGAAATCCATTGCAGACTTCTTCTCAGCATCCACCATCCTTAAAACATGAACTAAAGGTCTAGTGGTTGTAATGGCATATAAGACACTTTGTTAAAATCTGTCATTTAAAATAATCTTTATAATCTCTTTTCCCTCAGTCTTCTTCGCCCAATCACAACTCAACCACTGTGTAGATGTGAATATAGCCTCTAAAGGTTGCCTAGCAACCAGCATGCTCTCTAAGGTTAAGTAAGCGGTGGGATATCTTGTTGCGACTGGCATAAGAATTTCTTTCTTCGAAATTTTTCTCATAAGAGCTAGAACCCAAGAGTGGTTGTAAATAAACTTGGTTATTTTTTTGGCTTTAGTAAGTGCATTTTTATGTTGAGATAGCTCCTCAAGCTTCTCAAGAATAAGATCTATGCAATGTGCAGCACATGGAGTCTAGTACAAATGTTTTCTCTTCTCCATAAGTTTATTACCAGCAGCCTTATAAGAACTTGTATTATCTGTCACAATTTGTACAACCAAATGTTCTCCCACCTCATCAATAATGCTATCTAATAATCGAAATATGAACTCAGCATCTTTGACCTGGTCAGATGATTCAATTGACCTTAAAAACACAGTACCATAAGGATTATTAATGAGGATGTTGATCAGACTTCTATATTTGATATCAGACCACCCATCTGACATAATTGTTAGTGCTGTTTGGGTTCAAGTCTTCTTAATTTCTTCGATGCTTTTATCAGTGATTTCCAACTCCTCCTTCAAAATCCATGTTCTTAAATCATACATGGTTGGAGGTTTGAACCCTCTCCCAAATGCTCCAACTGAACGAATCATGTTGTAATAACCAGGTGATGTTGCAACATTAAATGGAATTGCATTTTCGTAGAAGAATCTGTCTATATCCTTACACACTCTTCTCCGCGCCTCCCTTGCATTTTTTGGGGACATCTTCTGTGTAGTAGAAGGTATATCCTCTGATGTGTCAATCATATAATGATACATAGGCCCTCTAGCACCCCTAGATGAAATGGGCTTCATAGAAGAAGATGAATCCCTAACGTTGCGCTCACTCCCGTAGCAAGATCCAACATCAACTCTGTCCTCAAATTGCTTCTGTGCAAGATGTTTTGACGTGGTAGACTTATTCATGTATGACTTTCTCTCATCCCTTACAGTATCAGGAACTTTGGAGCATGGAGCAACATTCTTGTGAGAACTTGAAAAGTGTTCCTTCATCCTAGTCACACCACCTTTCACAACTTTATCACAGTAATTACATTTTAGATAGACATATGTTTTATCACTTCCTCCTACATCCACATGAGTGCTATGTTTCCATGCTGGATCTTTTCTATGACCTGACGCAACTTTATCCTTATTTCTAACCATCCTGATTGAGAAAAATAGGAAGTAAACGAGTTCTTACTAATCTTTTCTATGACCTGATGCAGGTCAGAGTAAACAGCAGCCTCGGACAGAAGCGTACGCCGGTCGGACGGAGAAGCCCAACTCGCAGTCTCGCAGTAGAAGAAACCTCCAAGCAAAAGGCGAAGAGAACAGGTCTCGTTTAGGGTTTAATATGCGTGCTGGATGTGTTAAGTATTATATAATATCGAGCCGTCGATAAAGCATAACACTGCGTATTCTATGCGTATTTCTGCATATTATATGTGTATTTTCTGCGTATGTACGACATAA